CAAGGTTATACATTTTAACCAGATTTTCTCAGGCCTTTTTTGAATACTTTTAGTAGTTAACTATTTTGTCTAACCCTTCTGTAAATAACCATCGCAGAACATGCAGAACCCTGGGGAATACAGCTGAGGGTACCCTCTCCAGCCGGCTCTGTATTCATTCCCATAGGCTGCACTGAAATTACCTGGTAAATAATATCCTCCTCTGCTTTACATCAGTTTCCTATGTGTTGGCCTTCTTTTGGGATAGGAAGAGAAACATAAACTACCAGTCCAGTTAAAGTCTGTATTATACAGTTAGCATTGCCAGTAAAACGTTCCTAGTCACAAAGAAATGTGCTTTTGATTCCATATAAACATCTGTCTTTTTTGTCATGATCTGACCAAGATTCCTTCTCTGCACACCAGGCCAGTATATGCAGCGTCACATTTGTTTCAGATACATACCTTGGCGTTTTGTTTACTTAATATTTACCTTGCGTGAGGACACTCCTTGGGAATGGCTGCAGTGAGGCCCCATTGTTTACTCACTGAGGTGAACCATAGGTAATCTCTTACGTTGGCATTCCATTGTTCTGCTTCCCCATGTCTCTGACTTTCTCCCAGGAAGTCAATTAAAAAGGGACTGAGCTTTTTGTCAACCTGTCTGCAGCGTTTTTCGTTTATGTTTTCACTCTCTTAAAATGCAAATAAAGACTGCTTCCTTAGAGGGTGCTCATTCACTAGCCTAGACAGCCTTTGGTCTTTTTCTTTCACCTTGTTTTTCTCATCACTGAACGAACCCACACTTCCAGTTTCGTGTGATACTGGAACATCAGAATGCCCGCCCAGTGCTCAGCTGTATATTACAAGGTGACATGCTCCTCTCAGCCTTCCTGCCCAATCGTACAGTCCACACGCCCAATGCTCCTTGTTTCAAATGGAAACTAAAAGCCAGCCAGTGGCAGGGCTGCTCTGAGCCCTCCTCTTGGAAACAGACTGTGAAAGAAAACTGTTACTCTGATCAAGATGCAACATCTACAGCTTATTTAGTTAAAAAACAGTCTCCTGCTGAAGGCAGATGATATCTAAGACAAGTTGGACTGTGGCAACTTTAAATGACTGCAGCACAGTAAGTGATGGAGTTCAAAGTCCAAACTAGGCCCATGTCTAGAAATACGTGTGATTTAAAACCGAGATCCAGGAGACTGAACAAGATGGCAGCGCAGGTAACCGCTGTGCCTGCCGCCTCCCGCAACCACATCAAAATGACAACTAAAATACAGAACCACCGTCACTCAGAACCTCCTGAGATCTGGCTGAACAGAAGCCCTACAACCAGGGAACTGAAGGAGCATCGGAACCGGGAGGAGGGACGGAGACGCGGGTGGATCGGGGCTGGATCTTGGAGACTCGGTCGTAGGCCCACCCCCGGTGCTCTGGGTTAAATCTGGGAGGGAATCTCGGCGATGGAGGTTTCCTGGAGGAGTGAGGGATCCCAGCCCCACAGCAGGCCCTCAGCCCGGGGCTCCAGGCCGGGAAGAGATGTTCCCACAACCTCGGGCTGTGAAACCAGCGGGGACTGTCACTGAGGGTCGGGGAGGCTGTGGGAGGCCCAGCAGCTCCTCTTAAAGGGCCCACGCATGGACTCACTCGGACGCTCCCTCTGAGCCCAGTGCCGGGCAGCAGCCGGAAAGGACCCGGGACACTCGGGGAGGAACTAACCTGCCTCAAATCCGGGCGAGAGCTGGAGGGGCAGCTTCCTCCCAGACAGAAGAGCTGGCGGAGGCCATGGCTCCTGTGGCGAGTCCTCCCCGCACACAGCCGGCAGGCAGGCGCCATATTGGAATCGCCAGCACCTGACGCACACCTCTGGCCCCGCCCCTCCCACCTGCAGCTCATCCAGGCCGTTTCCAGGGGCCTTTCTGTGCAAGTGGCCTCCCAAGCCTCATGCTTAGGACTTTCCTAAAATCTCTCAAACAAGCAGCAGCTGGCCTCAGCGTGCCCCAGACCTCTTGATAAGTGGCCCAGACCTGCACCAGCGGCAAACTGCACTGGCTCATAGCTTGGCCTCTCCTGGACACCTCCAAGCCCGGCACAAGTAGCAGCCAACTACGGTTTGCTGTGTAGCTCATGCTGGGTGGCCCTGGGCAAGACACCGGCAGAGGCTGACTTTGCACCTCCCGGGAGGCCTCAGAGACAGTGCACCTGGTGGTCAGACTCGACCACACTGGATTACAACCCTACCACATCCACGAGTGACACTCAAGGGGCGCACTTGGTGAACACCAAAGCTCCACTGAAGTAAATCCTGATCCATAGGGGTGTCTCCAGCAC